TTCGGTTCGAGGCTTCCGGTTCGGTACGCATACAAACCGAACGATTCCATGGACCATTTTTTCTGCTGACAAAATTTGCGCTGGCGTGGCCACCACAATGTTGCGCAACATCTAATGGCAAGCGTAATGAAATCGGAACGAAACTGCACTACTCATTATGTGGTTTACGGATCATTTATCAGTTTGGACCTGTAACATCTGTGCAGGGCTAGCCGATCTCGATCAAGCGACATTGTACACAGCTCTAAGAGATACAGTAAAGAAAGCATTTGAATTCGCCACTGAAGTAATAACATCCCTGCGAGATCTAGTGAGAGAAGCATTCACATTTCTCCGTTACTAACCGTGGAAACCAGGAGAAACATTGTGCCGTGAATGAACTAGTAATACTTTACGTCCACAGACCAGCAACATTCACCATGGATTTAATATAGTAACACTAACTGTAACCAGTTTGGCTGGAATAGTGAAATGCTTTCAAGTACTTCACACATCTTTTTCCAGCACTTCAAAACTCAAATATTATATGAATAAATATATATTTAAATGTTATTTTTAATGTAATGACCAAAATTATTTGTTCATCCTTCAAATATGACTCCCATTTATAAACCAGAAAGTTTCAAGTTGTAGGAAAACTCAAACATATTTAAAAATATTTTTACCATACCGAACCGTGACTTTAAAACCGAGGTACGTACTGAACCGTGATTTTTGTGTACCGTTACACCCCTAATATACATACATATATATATTAGTGCTGTCAAACGATTAAAATATTTAATCGTGATTAATCGCGTTAATGTCATAGTTAACTCGCGATTAATCGCACATTTTTATCTATTCTAAATGACTCTTGATTTCTTTTTGTTACATTATTTTTTTCTCATTTTAATGCTTATCAACATGGAAAAGTGGATTGGCTTGTTTAGTGCAAATATATTTTTTTATTATTATTGAAAATAACATTGGAATAGTGTTCAATTTCACACTAACATATATAAATAATCTCTCACACAATGTAACACTGTCTATCAATAAAAGGGTGAAAGAAATACTGAGGAGGTCCTGATATTGACGAGGGGGTGGAGAATTCACATCATCTGTGTGTGTGTCTGTGTTTGCTTGGCCATCATCAAGTGGTATTTCAGACTGGACGTGCTGCGATGATGATAGCTCAGTTCACAATGACAAAACACACAGATCACTTTTGTCAATGGGACAATTTGGCAACTTTTTAAAACCACTCAAAACTTTCCATTCAGAATCTTAGGACATCCATTTCGGCGTCTCGCGCTCGTCATCCACTCAAAACGTAACGTTACTATTTGGCCGGCTCGCAAGCCGAAACGAGTGTGTGCAGCACAAAACGTCCTCACGCTGCGTTCTGAAACCCATTCATTGCAATGGCTTGCGCCGCGCGAGGACGTTTTGTTGCTTCGTCGATCAAAGCACAAGCGGATCTAGCTAGACTGGAAACAAAACAACAGGCACGCCGCAAACACACGTTTGGGCTTGTGAGCCGGCTTTGAGAGGATGACGAGCGTGAGACGCCGAAATGGATCAGGACGCATGCCGCATGCCGCGTCCTGTTGCAAAAACATGTGAAAAAACTACAAAGTTTGCTAGTTCAAAAAGACCGTTAATTGCGCGATAAAAAAATTAACGCCGTTAAACTGAGTTTGGGTTAACGCCGTTAATATATATTTATAAAACGGTTAGTTCCAATCCTTGATTATGATTGGTCAATAGCTGTGCTTTATTCACGATAAAACACGGCTATGGCCGCTTCACCCAATGGTTCTATTTATCACTGCGCCCTTAGCAACACCCTTAGCAACCACACATATCAACATAGGCTAAACATAGAAAAAAACGTAAGAATTAAAAAGGCTAAAATGTTTAAAATAAATTTCGATTTACTAGGTGGCATGACGATGGATAAGTGGTTTGAGGAACAATTTAGAGAGACTTCTACAAATACGAAACGTCATGCTGAAGTGCTGAAATGGAACATTGACACATTCGAGAAGACTCGTAAATACGTAACAGTTAATGAAAAAAATACCGTGCAGCAAACCCAATGGGCAGTGAAATGCTTCGGTGACTAGTGTAGTGAAAAGGGTTGCAGCATTGATTTTAAACAAATCACCAAGACGGAACTTAACGCACGTCCGTGACTTCTACGGAACTGTCAGAAGCTCCGAGAAAAATATGGGATCAGCTATGTAGCGTTACGTGCGGGTCTGAACAGATTCCTGAATGATCCACCGAGTTTGTCCTGGTGTCTGATAAGAGACAGCGAATTCACCTCATCCAATAATGTTTTCGTTGGAGTCGTAAAGACAATGAGAAGAGAGGGTCGTGATAAAACGGAGCATCACACACCGATTTCTACTAAAGATTTCAGCACCATAAAACTGTCCGATGCGTTTAATCCCAAACCTGTCACCAGTCACCGAAGCATTTCACTGGCCATTGGGTTTGCTGCACGGCATTTTTTTCATTACGAGTCTTCGCGAATGTATCAAATTTACATTTCAGCACTTCAGCATGACGGTTGGTATTTGTAGAAGTCTCTCCAAATTGTCACTTATCAGGGATGTGATTTTTCCGGATTAATCCGGAATTCCGGATTTTCCGACCTGAAAATGTGACCTACGTGAATCATGCAGATCTGTAAAAAAAAAACAAACAAACAGGGGGACGGGTGTCGGCAGCCGGAGTGAAAAGGAGAGAATATGAGGACATAACCCATAACTGGCTGACGTGCGTACAGAAAGTTCCTTTCAAAGCATCAACAAGGACGTATTTGCGTTCAGTCAGAGAATGTCTAATTGGTTCAGCTTGTTCACCTGCTCAATTTCGTATCTCAGTCGCTCTCGCGCTGGTATCGTTGTCAGTTGACAACATCACAGTTAGGTCAACAGGGCTGGGCGATATATCGATATATTTCAAATTTGCGCTATGATCCTTGCTCCAAGCAAGCTGCTGACTGCTTTTGTAGAAATATGTAGCAGCTATATCGTGCATTCTGTCAGTTGCAGTCCTGACCTCCGTCTCAACAGCATTAGTGTACAACGCGACAAATACTCGCAGAGGAACGGCTACATCAGTTCAGCGAGTTCACAAAAGTTAATTTGCATGTGCTTTAAAGCCTTGCCGGTTAAACATGTCATTCACTGCTGATGCGCTGTTCTGATCGCGAACACCCGACGTGCACATGCACTAAAAGCTTGTCTAACAGCGCCTGGTTGCTGCACTAAGTTATCTTTCGAGTATTGTTTCGCTAATACTCTCAAATACACACAAGGTTTACATAAGAACATTTGGTTATGTCTAAACTCAAAGCAAACCGAGAAAATTGAGAGAAATCTGCTTGTAAAATGCTCCGTGTATATTAGACGTACAGGTCTTAAAGTGACAGTAGCCCTAATAATAAAAATGCAGCTGCTTGTTCTTAAATGGATAGTTGACCCCAAAATAAACATTATGTCATTATTTATTCACTGTAATGTTGTTCCAAACCTGTTTTAATTTATTTCTTGTGCTGAACAAAAAAGAAGATATTTTGAAGAATGTGGGTGACCAGACAGTTGCTGGTCCCCATTGACTTCCATAGGGAAAAATTTACTATGGAAATCACTGGGGTACATCAACTGTTTGGTTACCCACATTCTTCCAAATAACTTAACAGAAGAAAGAAACTTATTCAGGTTTAAAACAACTTGAGAGAGTAAATTATGACAATTACAATTTTTGGGAGAACTATCTATTTAATGTTAATTAAACAACAAAACACAGATGAAATCACTCACTGCTCTTGACTGAGAACTTTAATAGTAGCTTTAATAATAATCAATGTATAATTTATATAGTGAAGACTATATTTGACTTTGATTGAACATTTACTCAAAAACAAAAACAAAAAAGCGAGAGTAAAAAAATATAGGTATATTTTCCTGCTTTTTTGTCCTTAGCCGATAACATGCCTGCACTTATCCATCGTCATGCCACCTAAATCGAAATTTACTTCGATTTATTAACGAAATTTACCTAGTATAAAACGAAACATTTTAGCCTTTTTAAATTATGTCTGTGACATTCTTGCTGCAACAGAAAACACCACTGACAGCGCTGAGCCCCAACTAAAATATCACAGTGGAGCCGATTGAAATGAGACAAATATAAATGCATGCACAATAAACGGAGATGTTCAAATAAATTTAAATAAACAACAATAAATAAAGTATCTCTTGTTAGGAAGCATTTAGCAACTAAATTAATAACTAGATTAAAGACCTAACTGTTATCGATCAAAATATGCCCTTGTTTTTTGGGGGGGGTTTTTTGTATTTTGCTGAGAGATAAGCTATGCCTATATTTGTGTGAGGAAATTTCACAAATTTTGTGTTGTAAAAAAATAAAAAGAATGAGACAAAGTTTGAGAATGGTTTGTTTTTATTTGAGCTTTCCTGCATATTACACATTGGAACGTTGTTGTTCACAGTCAGGGACTATATTTTTCTAGCGGAAGGAATGTTTTTATTGATTTAACTATATGAAAGTTGCACTAATACATTTTTTTTACTTCAATATTGTGTGGCAACCGTTTTATAAAAGCAATAAGGTACTCGAGGCAAGTGTTGTATCGTGAATAAGTAACGGCTGAAGGGCGTTGTTAGGCACGACGCGAAGCGGAGTACAGCACAGCCTCTCGTACCTTATTGCTTACGTAAATGTGTGCTGCACAGGATACAGCACAGCCTATCGTACCTTATTGCTTACATATAGTATAACGCCATTCAGCCAAAAAACAAAAACAGAGATAAGATTGTTTTGCCTATGTTACATAGCCTTATATAAGCATAATTTCTAAGAATAAATTTAATTAGTAATTTATGGCTTTGTATTCACAAGCTAAATACTGTACAAATAGTACAAATTGTACTGTACATATATTTTCAACTAAATTAATACTATTAGTTCTCCTTTTGCAGATTTACAGGCTGTAATCTCACTGATCAGCGCTGTGAAATTGTGGCTTCAGCTCTACAATCATCAAACTCCCCCCTGAGAGAGCTGGACCTGAGTTACAATGACCTGCAGGATTCAGGAGTGAAGCTGCTCTGTACGGGACTGAAGAGTCCAAACTGTCAACTCAACATACTGAGGTTTGACCTATACATATATTCATTCAATATGTTTAATATTCAAGTATAGTTCCCTGTCTAGAATTTTTAATTAGACAAATTAAGTATTCCACTTTAACAAAACAAGTGTCCTGGGGTTTCTTCAGAATGTATGTTATGTATGTTACACAGTGGTTGCAGCAGAGATGAAACAGGATCTAAGTGCAGCAGCTTTATTCAAAAACAAACTCAAACTCACTAAATAATCTCAAGAACAAGAACAGAAAAACCAACTCAAGGCAATGTAGAACTGACAAAGAACAGAAAGACACACAAGGCTTAAATAGACAGAAAACAGTGAAACTAATGAGACTAATTAACGATGCAAAGCTGAACTGAAACTCAAATCAAATCAGAAACCATAGAAACAAAAAGGCAGGGGGCGGAGAAAGATAGAAGAGAACTAATTCACAGTTTATCCAAACCCAGACAAGAACAGATATCAAAACAAACTGACAATGTGACAACGTCTTTTAATGTTCTTCTTATCAGTATTATTTTTTTTCTTTTAGTATTATTATTATTATTTTTGACTAAGGTAAGAGATATATTAATATTATCAATAAACGGCACGTTCGGGTAATAATGTAAAATATGGGGGCAAAAATGCTTTTTTTAAAAACAATTAATTATGAAAGCATATTCTAGTACACCCCAAAAACTTCAACTTTTATTTATTTATATAGCACATTTAATAGCAACGTTCCCTGCCCAAAGTGCTTCACAGTTAACTTCAAAACAGTAAAACATTCATCTATAAAAGCATGTGTGAAAGTAGACCATACACTCTTAGACATACCTCACATATAAAAATATAGTGAGGACAGTGTAGAAAGGATTTAAAATAATAAAAACTGAAAATGATTAAGTTTTATATGTACACTGTAACAATACACTAACTAAAGGCTAGGTTAAAAAGATATGTTTTTAAATTGGACTTAAAGGGTACATATCATGCTTTTAAACGTACAGTATGTGATTTTTGGCCACCAGGGGTCACTCGTTTAAAATAATAACAAAAGACGTACTTTGATGACGTCGGGAAAGAGCGTGGGCTCACGGGAGTTGTTGTCGCTGTCAATGACAACCAGTTCAGCTCATGACATGACATCATCGTTTCACAAAATATACGGATATACGGCATCTCTCTGTAGATTTAGCTTGTCAAGAAGCTTTAAATGCAACCCCAACGTTTACCTGTGTCATGCTTCTCCTGTCCCAAACCCTTCTCAGGTCATATTTTTCAGGTACGTTTGAGCTTTAGCTAATGAGCTGGCTGTAGCAGCAGAACGTGCAGGCAAAGCGTAATCGTGGTCCATAACTATTATACAGACGAATATAAATATTAATATTACGCTACTTCAATGAATGACCTATTTTAGAACATTTTTCATATATAGAGCGCACCGGATTATAAAGCACATAAGATACTGCAGTCAAACGTTTGACTGGGTTTGCGTTATTCATCCACTATGTGCTAAAGGCTAAAGGGAATGTAGTGAGTGCGCGGCGCCGGAGGTGAGGCGTTTATTTAGTAAGCATGAGAGAGCTGAAGCGGGCACGTACATTCGCAGCCTGACTCATAAGAGTATTCAATGTGCGCGGCTCGCTAACAGCAACAGTTGGCTGATTTGAATGAGACGACCCGGTTACTGTGAACGGGGAGCGCTTTATGCGCGAGCAGCACCGGGGACAGTGTGTCTGTTAAGAGTGAGCGCTCGTGAGTGGGCACGTGATTTACACACATAAAAATACGTACTACTTTTTTTTCTTCGTCATTTTCTTTGCTTTATTGGCGGTAGTCCAGTTTTCCCCTTTGTGTTTGGCGGTTTTGCCGGGTTCCGCAAGGAAGTTAGAGAAAATAGAGGAGTCAAAGGTTATATGACGCCATACACGGGCGACGAAACGGAAATAAAGAAACGTCCCGTGTCTTCGAATTAAACTATAAATTTCTCCGTATTTGAAATTTGGTGGAAACTGTCGGGATAATGTAAGTACATATCTAACAGAAATATATAACATAGATACAGTTATTTCTGCTATTTTTAATGCAGAAAAAATACATATTGTGGCTTTAAATCATTAATTTTTACATATAGATCATATCGTTGTGGTCTATATAAAACATAACTGCAATGCTTGGGTCTGTATTCCTCATTATTATAGCTCCATAAGCCCCTTTTCTACCCCTTTTCTGATGTGCGTCTGTTAGCGACCCGTTTCAAAGCGGCCCCTTTAAATAAAAAGGAAATGCGTCATACCCCGCCCGGTCTCCAGGTCGATGAGTTCACGGTCGGTTCAACTCCCCACGTTCGACCATTATTGTAGTTTGATTAGAGATATACGATTATATACGATACCTTCAAAGAACATTTTTATTCACACGTTAATAAAATGTCAACAACAGAAGACTTGGCCATCAAGCCTTACATATTCGAGCCAGAACGAGCGAGTTGATAAAGACGACAATGAACCTGCAGAACAACTTCTTCATATGGATGTATTGGTATGCGAGTTAACTGTTTTGTGTTATTAGTGAAAGTCGACTATTTCTCCTGTTAAAACAAGCACACTGACAAGATAAATGACTACAGTCTAATCTTACCACAAACAATCTGTATTGACAATATGATACGTTTAGAAAAGCATCAGAAAAGCAGCTAAATGACCATTGATGAAACTCAAGAACAATAATACTGCAGATGTGTAACGTTACTTCAAAACAGAAACAAAGAAAGACAAAGGTACTGCTAAACCATGACCACCATGTGTTTTAAGAAAGTAAAGTGCTTTATTTTTATTAACGATATTTACAGCTTATCGAAATGCTCTGTTCGTCGTCTCCAAAGATAGAAGGAATTTACCTCTCATTCAGACGAAGTCAATCGGCAAACCCTTCTTTATACTGGCGGAGGTTGTTGAAGTGGGGATCCTTGAAGTGCTTCAGGTCACTAAATCCAAAAACCGAACATTTTAACTTGCCCTCTCGTAACTTCTGCATCATTGAGCTCGGACTACAAAATCGGAGCGAGAAATAATAATGGCGGATTGCTCGAAGTGGTGGACCGGTAGTCAATGTCCTTATTTGGCAGTTCCGCTGCAAATACGGTGAAGTTATAGTTCAAAAAACGTCATAGAGAACAGAAAAATCTGAACAGGTTGAAAAATATGACCAAAACAGAATATAAAGATATAAAGGAAGCACCTGAAGAGAATAATTTCATCTTTTCTGTACTTATAAACACTCCAAATATACAACAAAATGCATTTAAGGGCTAAAAAAGTGGATTTTGCATTATATGTCCCCTTTAAAAATGTATATTGTTTGAGCTTGCCGGATATGAGCGGGGAGATTATTCCATAGCTTGGGGGCCGCAACTGAGAAGGCACGGTCACCCTTTGTCTTCTTTTTGGAGTAAGGGACTGTCAGCAAAAGTTGATTTGATCTTTATGTCCTGCCTGATTTATACACTCCTAGGAGGTCGACAATGTAGTCTGGGGACATATTATGCAAAGCTTTAAAAACCATCAATAAAATCTTGTACTCAATCCTATATTGAACTGGTAGCCAATGAAGACCACGTAGTACTGGGGTAATGTGGTCCCTTTTTTTAGTGCCAGTTAAAAGCCTGGCTGCAGCGTTTTGCAGCAGCTGAAGATGGCACAGTTGACGTTGGCAGATCCCTGCATAAAGAGAGTTGCAATAATCTAGTCTTGATGTGATGAAAGCATGGACAACGACCTCCAGATCTTTAAAAGTGAGAGGGGGTTTTATCTTAGAAATCACTCTAAGCTGATAGAAACTGCTCTTTACAACAGAGTTTATCTGTTTGTCAAAGCTAAGTGATGAGTCGACTATAATGCCAAGATTTCTCACACTATCTTTCACCGTCATATCAAGTGGAGCAAGGATATTGGCTATCTTCTCTTTGCAGTTTTGTTGTATTTATAGTCCTGTAACACGTTTCCCCATATCCTGCATCCCTGTCAACGTATCACAAATTTTAGAAAAAAATATCTGAAACATTTGTAAAAATGAAGCACACTAACATGAACATTTACTGTTGTTGTAGATTATCTGGCTGTATGGTGACAGAGGAAGGTTGTGCTGATCTGGCATCAGCTCTGAGTTCAAACCCTTCACACCTGAGAGAGCTGGACCTGAGCTACAATCACCCAGGAGATTCAGGAGTGAAGCTGCTCTCTGATACACTCACACATCTGGACACACTCAAGTATGTTGATCATGAAAATTAATTCATCATTTACTCAACCTGGTGTTTTTCTAACGATATTAGCCCTTCTTTCTGTTTTGGACCACAAAAGGAGAGTTAAAAAAGAAAATTACTGCTCGCGCTCATTCACACATTGGAAGAGAATGGGGGGGCTAGATTAACCATTTCACTGCTGTGTGGTTTGGCCTGCATTAAAAAGAAAAGAAATGTCTTAAGCCTTGTATTTTTTAAATAAGTTTAAAAAATATTTTTTTAATAATGGCATATAACCAGTTTAATTGTAGTGCATTGACAATAGTTTTATATAATTAATTTATTAATTAAATTAACTTGGTCCATAAATCAAACACATGTAATAATATGAAACTCGGTACACATATAGATCTCATCAGGCCAAACAACTTTAAGCCAGCCCAACAGGAAGTCGGCAATTTTGATCTGAATGTGGATGTTTTGCAAAACCAGCCTTTAAATTTTTTCTCACTCCTCTTAAGTAGTTTATGTTATTCATGCCAAACTTTTTCAACTTGATGAAAATACATTAAAGATGCTAAATTGTGAACGGATATTGAATATCTCAAACGGTTTTGCTATCGCGAGAGATTGTCAAAAAAAGAATCAGGAAATGTCTAATTTCTTTTAAAAATGTAATTATACAACATTTATTATTATATTAAATTATATAAATATTAAAACAAAATTTTAGTTCATTTTATTCTATTTTTTTTTTTTTTCAATTAAAGTAGGATGAAAAAGTTTAAAGTAGGCTGTTTATTGATATTTGGTTAAACAAAAAGAAAATCATACGTAGGGCTCAGAGTTTCCGCTAGAAAAAATGGTGCCGGTCAAAGTGACCGGCAGAGGTTTAGTTTAACGGACATTTTGATGATATGCCGGTCAAATATCGCCTCTTAATTAGTCAAGTTGAGGAAAACTGGAGGCAGGCTATGTTACTTAAAAAATGACATAATCAGGCCGTAGCTATAGAATGCAACATGTTTATTAGCATAACTTTCAAATAGACGGAAACCATGAAAACATGAACATCCGATTGGTGTCAATCAACGCCAATTGTTTTTGGTTTCACATTAGTTTAACAAACCAATCCCCCTTCCCCACATACAATATCTGAATAGTAGTTTTTACTCAAGCGAACTATACACTCTCAGTAGCGTCTCATTTAGCTGGTAGGCCTAACATTTAAATTGGCCACCGTGAAATGACTCCTTGTCAAATTAATTGGAACAAACAAATGACTAGGCCTATAACACTGTCTCGCGTAATTTTAGGCTACTTTTTACGCTGTTTTGCAGTGCTGAAATGTGCAGCTGCCGACTTAAAATCAAAACTTCGCAGTGTCTCTCCACAACTTGCAATGCGCATAAGCCACGTAACCTTGTTCTCTACAAGGCGACTTCGCTGCTTCGACTTGATCCAATTCTGCAGTGAGAACCCTCTCTCTACAGGAACACTCGAGACAGGGATTACACAGGCTATCTTGGCGAGCTTGGTCCACTCTGGATAGATTTCGTTGAAATCGCATATGAGGACTTCGCAGGAAACTACTTGAAAATCGTGCAGTCTGAACTTGGCATAACTTACATTCGCAGCAGAGCATGTGAGCGGGAGCAGATCTTGGACAGAGCGCAGAGCGGCATTTTTAAAAGGACGGAGCGTCACCCTATTTCCCGCTCCGCTCACAAGAAAACTCCACGTCTTTTCCCCGTCTGACTAAAGTTGCTTGCATTGTATTCAGCATCCCCAAGCGAGTCCGCGAGCACAGAGAGGGTTTTCTCCGCTGCTGGCCTGCTTTCAAGACACCACCGCATGTGTCTGAAGCCTCAGACATTGTCCACACTTGTGTTCTTGAAGGTGAACTCAAAAGAACTGTAGAAAATGAAAGCTTTTTTTTTTCTTTTTTTTTTTAAGTTTGAGACAATTTAAATTGTCATCCACGTGCTTTCTGCACAAAAGTTCAGGTAGATATAGGCATCTGGTGGCCTAATAGTTCATTTACCAAAATGTATTTAATTTAACACATTGATGTTGATGTAGATGATTTTTGTTTATATAATTAGGCCCATTGATTCGTTTAATTTTACAATTTTTTTTGTGTGTGTGCAGATTATATAGGCCTAAGCCAATTTAAATTTTAATAGTGCGCGCCGCGCAAAAATCAGTTAGGCTTATCAAAATCTGGCCTAATAATTACTTAGCCTACTTTTAAACATTTATGTAGGCATATATATATATATATTTTTTTTTTTACATTTTTGTTCATGTTTTTATTTTCGTTATATTATTAGGGCCATTTATTCGTTTAATTTTACAGCAGTTTGTGTGTACAATGGTTATTAACCCATTTACATTTTTATCATGTGAGTTGGGCAAAAGTTATCAAAATTCTGGCCAATAGTTAATTTACTTTTAAAACTTTTATGTCTATTTTTGTTTATATAATTTTTATTCATATTATTGGGCCCATTTATTCGTTTAATTTTACAGGACTTTTTGTGTATGCTACATTCCTGTTCTTGCTAGTCCTAATTTGTAGTTTGAAATGAAACATTTCTGTTTGGAAAATGTTGATGTTGGTCTTTAGTTCTTTGTAAGGTAAGGCTGTGGTCTAACCTAAAAGTGAAATAAAAATACATGCAGTGCTGAGTGCTGAACGGGGAGCACTTTATGAACATTCTGTGACGCGCGAGCAGCGCTGGGAACAGTGATTTGATTATTGATTATACCAGGTTGAACTGTCCGTGTTACAGAGCGGGCATAAGATGGACACGAGCGCGAGTTCGCTGGCGAATTTAATAACGCGGAGCGTTATTAGCCAATTGATCCATATATAAGGCGCTCCGGATTATAGGTGTCATTTTTTGAGAAAATTAAAGGCTTTTAAGTGCGCCTTATAGTGCGGAAAATACGGGTAACGTTACATGGCGTCTTTAAATAAATGCACAAAAAATATACATTTTTATTTAGATTTTAAATTTTTACTAATTTAATAATGTCGTGTACGTTTAAATGTTAGAAAAATAAATAAATAAAGACATCTTGCCATACTAAAAGGGGACGTTTCTGTAGAATGACCCATATAATAAATCAACAGATCCTACTTACCACTATGTGTCTGTGGATATCTAGGGATTCAAAAGGGCATCGAGGCAGTGAAGTAGATCCATGCAATCCTCAGGGAACCGATCTTGCAAGGCATCTATCATGTTGAACATAGAGTTCCCTGGCTTTTTTGAAAGCTTGAATGAGCGGTCGCTTGAATTGGTCACTTTGACATCCTTGTATGTGCCGTCTTTAATAACATTCAAACGGTAGAGCCTGTTCCTTTATAACATAGCCCAATATCGGTGTATTTTTGCTTTATACATTTTAGGCTTATTCTCTAATTCAGATTGTGTTAGGGGGGCGGGATTTTTAGGCAATTTTAATCAGACAATTTGACCGGAGAGATTTAATTTTGTCGGACATTTCATTTTTTTCCCCGGCCAATGTCCGGTAATTACCGGACAACGGAAACCCTGGTAGGGCTATACTGCCCTCTAGTGTCCAAAATGATATCAACAATTTTTTATCAGGTATGGCTATTGTATATAAATATATGAGGTATGTGGCTGTTAGAATATTTTCCCACCGGTTAATCGACGTGCGACACCAGCGAGGGCTTTTTAATCACTAATATAAAAGTGAAAGTAAAAGCGCTTTTACACAAAATATTCCATCGTCATCTTTTCAGTCAGCTCGTCACTCGCGTGATTAATGAAATTTGACTCCTGTTGCTGATCTTTTCTGCAACTTTCGTTTAGCTCACAATTTAGTAAGCAAACACATTCAGGTTTTAACTGTAGTGACTAAATTATTTTATTAAACACACACACATCAAATTGATTTCGCTCAAACTCATAAAGCTTCAGGCATGACCAGAAGAGATGACCCAGAGCGCCCTTGGCAGATTCACATTTATTAGAAGAGATGGAGGGGTAGAATAAAGAAGCCTATGTACTATTTTGCATTGAATTAGTTAGTGATGTGAGTTAATAGAACATGTCTTTATGACCTTGTTAGAGTCGGTCTTTATAACATTTTGGTATATTTCCTACCTGTTAGACACAGGTAAATATGGACACAGGTAGAAATGACATTTATTATGGGTTTATGTGAGGATCGTTGTAAATCCATTTAAATTAAAAGTTGTTAAATGTTTTGAAGTCTAATAGATGTTAAGAAAATAATAGCTCTCAAAACACTGATATGCTGAATGGATATAATTCATGTTTATAATTATGGGAGACATAAGTTTGTTACTGAATATGGCGTCATTTTTTGGGCATGCAAAGTAGCAGTATTATTTATATAGCAGCAAATAAATCAATAAATGGCGATAATATATTATTTTTTATTGCGCTATTGAGCCACTAAAGATTACAGCAAGGGAAACTCTTTCACCATGACAGCCCTATTTCAGAAATATGATTTAAAGGGTTAAACGAGCTTGGATCTAATTAAAGGGTTAATTCATCCAACAAAAAAAAAAAGAAAAAGAAATACAATTCTGTCATTGATCACTTGCCCTCGTTTTGTTACAAACCGGTAAGTCTTTGGTTCATCTTCTGAACACAATTGAAGATTTTTTTAATGAAATCTGAGCTTTCTGTCCCTCCATAGACAGTCTGCATAACTGACACTTTAAAGCTTCAAAAAGTTCATAAAGAGATCGTAAAACTCATCCATATGAAGTGAGCGGTTTAGTCCAAAACAGGTTTGGTTATGTGAAGGCCAAATGTATAAAAATATTAGTTAAAAAAAAAAAGATAAATAAATCTTAAATCTAGTGTTTGTTTCTGTTTGGGAGTGAGGCTTCAGGCCGTAGAAAATAGCATTAACCTGATATAAAATCAATGATCTATGTAATGTCCTCACTAATATAATGAAACATAATCTGTATGTGTGTGTGTGTGTGTGTGTGTTTGTTTTCTAGTGTGGATCACAGAGGAGAGATCAGGATGTTAGCAGGGCCACGCAAATGTAAGTCCACAAACACAGTTTTAGTTGTTGGTGTTTTGTTGTTGTAAGGATCACCCATTGGCCCAAAGACGGAGTCCAACGGCTGGGCGAAGGGATAATGCGTGTCTTTTCAGCGCTCCAGCGAAGTTCACTTAATTTATTACAATTTAGTTTCAATATTACTTTAGCTCTACGCTTAATCTGACTCCAATTTTTACTGATGATCAAGTTTAGATTGTGTTTCTTATTAGAAAATAACCATAACTACTGATTCTGATTTAATTTAGATCTTTGATTATTCAGAGTTTCTTACACTTTCAGTTATTAGTTCATTATGGACCCGATGCCGCACAGAGATCACGTTGGCCGTATCGTGTTTCTCACGGACACAAACCTTGTCAGTTCTGAATTTAGTCACAGGGTGCAGGGTTAGCTAATACTTCTTCTTATACTTCGTCGGTTGCCAACTGCTCACTCGTAAAAAGAATGTAGTTTACTTTAGCCATTTCCATACAACTGGCTAAATCAGTGATCGACAGAAATCAAAAGGTCTCCAGAGGACGTGCCTACTGCTCCATTCACATCTGTGCCTTTAGTTTGACCTATCCTGCAAGATTTGCGGTAGCACCAGCCTCCTATAATTTACTTAAATAATGATGTCAGAATACTTCCGAATAAATCAAGATGTAACATTTATTTCACATTTATTTGTCAGGTAAAAATGTATCATGCCAATTACACAAGCAATTAATTGGCAATTCAGAAATAATAAATACATGACATCAATTACTCAAAGATGATTGTAAAAGTAAGCAATGCATTCCTGACAGAGACACACAGTAATGTGTGAGAAAACACTGACACAGCACTGAATGGGGTGGATTTCCTGCAGAGGTTCAGGCTGCAAGACTGCCGAATGACTAAAGAAACGTTATTAGCAAGATGGTAGAAAACTGTACATTTCTTGTCTATTCCACCCGCTGCCACTCATACCAACGACTTATACCAGCGCAGTTACAATAGACCCCTTTACAGTTGGTAAACACGGTGACGTTTTTATGTGGGCGGAGCTTAGGTGGAGGCAGAAAGATCCCTCTGGCCGCTTCACTAACGCTAGTTAGCAAGGATTGTTAGCTTGTTTTTTAACAATGACTGGAGAAAATCCGATATTATCCTAATGTGTAAGGTCACTCAGTGTCCAGGACCGCGATTGTTATTTCAAAAGTTATTTTTAACGGACAGAACCAGATTGGCCGACCTGTAGCCGCCTACACGCTCACTCAATGCATGGATGATCTGACAGGATTAACGTTACGTTACCTCGGGTGAGTGGTCTGACTTCTGCACTTACCTTACAGAGAAACCTAACTGAAAGAGAAACTGAGGGCGTATAAATCTTTAGATGCCTATATGGTCCTGTACAAGACTTGTGTGTACGATCCGCAGTTCTGCCGAGCCAGCGCCGAGACCACGACAATGTAAAGAGTGACATTACAGTGCGATTTTAATGATGTGAATATTTTCTAGAAATAAAAGTTCCAGATACAGCATATTCATTTTCATCAATTCTTGCACCAAACAACACAACAAGATGACATTTAATAATAGTAACAATTATTTAAGCTCCTTATTATGTAGCCGAATCTGTGCTGGTTTGTATTGGCCGCCTCACTTTGCTTTGCCTCCAGCTAGCGCCGTGACGTAACTGTGACGTCGGCGCAAAAGGGGTCTATCGCTTAATATGTGGGAGAGCTTTGCTATATAGAGTGACAGTTTTGTATTGCAATATGTAGCACTTCAAAGTCAATACCAAATCAAAACTAGATCGCATCTTAGTTGTAATTGAAAAGGTTTAATGACAAAATATGGTTATGGTTACACTTAAAATAGTTACAAAATAGATGTATGAGATGATGATAACTTATACCAATAATCTTACCCAGCATGTAAAAATATTACCAGAGAGAGAGAGAGAGAGAGAGAGAGAGAGAGAAAGAAAAGAGGAGGCAAAGGGAGAGAGCCAGAGCAGAGAATTAAAAGAGACAGATCAACAGTCTTCTTTTTTTTATTTATTTTTTTTTATTTAACAGTCAGACATACATACAAACAAACCAACACAGTGCAGTAGTGAGCAATCTTGTAAATCCATAATTCCAGCAGTGGTAAGAGTGATTTAAGTGTTTGATCTAAGTGTGTAAGTGAGCGTGTATGAGCGTGGGTATGTGTATGCGTGTGTACACAAAGTAACCATTTATTATTTATTACCATTGTCATTACCATCACTCCCCCACTACCACCATACTGCCCATATTGTTTTTGTAGATTTTTATTTCCATCCTTCCTCCTATGTAACAATTGCCATTGTCAATCCTGTACAAAATATGATAATATAATAATATAATATAATATAAGACAACCTTCCCCCACATCTCATCAGTCCCTATCTTTTCCTATTTTTCTGTTTTTTTTTTGTTTTTTTTGTGTGTTATGTGCAATGTCTAAAGTGCATTAAAAGAGGGAGTACAGTGCGAGAATGTCTCAAATTGGGCCAGAGATGCTGTCCCGTTGAAACTACTTCTCGCCTGTCTTGCCTGCCTTGGTGTTTGCGATGTTTTTCCAAATATACTTATTCTTTTTTTTTTTTTTTTTCCCTATTCTATGTTGTGGTGCATTAAAAACCCATGAAGAGATAAGGGGGAAGTTATTGCATTAGTGATGACAATGACGCTTAATTCTAGTTCTACATTCTAATTCTACAGCATTGACAATGGCAATATTGATGATAATAATAATAATAATAATACAAACCCAATTCCATAAAAGTTGGGACACTGTACAAATTGTGAATAAAAACAGAATGCAATGATGTGGAAGTTTCAAATTTCAATATTATATTTAGAATACAACATAGATGACATATCAAATGTTGAAAGTGAGACATTTTGAATTGCCATGCCAAATATTGGCTCCTTTTGGATTTCATGAGAGCTACAAATTCCAAAAAAGTTGGGACAAGTAGCAATAAGAGGCCATAAAAGTTAAATGTACATAAGGAACAGCTGGAGGACCAATTTGCAACTTATTAGGTCAATTGGCAACATGATTGGGTATAAAAAGACCCTCTCAGAGTGGCAGTGTCTCTCAGAAGTCAAGATGGGCAGAGGATCACCAATTCCCCCAATGCTGAGGCAAAAAATAGTGGAGCAATATCAGAAAGGAGTTTCTCAGAGAAGAATTGCAAAGAGTTTGAAGTTATCATCATCAACAGTGCATAATATCATCCAAAGATTCAGAGAATCTGGAACAATCTCTGTGCATAAGGGTCAAGGCCGGAAAACCATACTGAATGCCCGTGATCTTCGGGCCCTTAGACGGCACTGCATCACACACAGGAATGCTACTGTAATGGAAATCACAACATGGGCTCAAGAATACTTCCAGAAAACATTGTCAGTGAACACAATCCACCGTGCCATTCACCGTTGCCGGCTAAAGCTCTATAGGTCAAAAAAGAAGCCATATCTAAACGGGAACCAGAAGCGCAGGCGTTTTCTCTGGGCCAAGGCTCATTTAAAGTGGACTCTAGCAAAGTGGAAAACTGTTCTGTGGTCAGACAAATCAAAATTTGAAGTTCTTTTTGGAAAACTGGGACGCCATGTCATCCGGACTAAAGAGGACAAGGACAACCCAAGTTGTTATCAGCGCTCAGTTCAGAAGCCTGCATATCTGATGGTATGGGGTTGCATGAGTGCGTGTGGCATGGGCAGCTTACACATCTGGAAAGGCACCATCAATGCTGAAAGGTATATCCAAGTTCTAGAACAACATATGCTCCCATCCAGACATCGTCTCTTTCAGGGAAGACCTTGTATTTTCCAACAAGACAATGCCAAACCACATACTGCATCAATTACAACATCATGGCTGCGTAGAAGAAGGATCCGGGTACTGAAATGGCCAGCCTGCAGTCCAGATCTTTCACCCATAGAAAACATTTGGCGCATCATAAAGAGGAAGATGCAACAAAGAAGACCTAAGACAGTTGAGCAGCTAGAAGCCTTTATTAGACAAGAATGGGACAACATTCCTATTCCTAAACTTGAGCAACTTGTCTCCTCAGTCCCCAGACGTTTGCAGACTGTTATTAAAAGAAGAGGGGATGCCACACAGTGGTAAAAATGGCCTTGTCCCAACTTTTTTGAGATGTGTTGATGCCATGAAATTTAAAATCAACTTATTTTTCCCTTAAAATTATGCATTTTCTCAGTTTAAACATTTGATATGTCATCTATGTTGTATTCTAAATATAATATTGAAATTTGAAACTTCCACATCATTGCATTCTGTTTTTATTCACAATTTGTACAGTGTCCCAACTTTTATGGAATTGGGTTTGTAGTAGTAATAATAATAATAATAATAAATGACAATGATGATGGCAGTGGTGATCACAACGGTGAGAGCAAAAGACAGCAACAACAGCAATTACAACAATGAAACAACAAAAAATAAAATAAAAGTGAAAATAGTAATCATAACAGTGACAGTAAAGATAGCAATAACAATGATGACAAAAACAAGTTCGAACAACTAAAATGCACAAATATTCGTGGGTTGGTTATAGTCTGAGTTAAAAACAGAGAGAGGATTCATAGCTGTAAGAGGTCAGAAAGTGTTGGACGGTAGAGCTCAGTTTCAGATGTGTAATTATGAAGGGGAGATGCGAGTTCCATTGCAATGAAGTCTGTTATAAGATTTTTCCAAATGTTAATGTGTAATTTATTTCTGGTTTTCCAGTTCATGAGGATAGTTTTCTTGGCGATGGTCAGCGCTATGAGGAGTATTTTAGAGTTTATAGTTTTATCAGTGATTATTGTGAGGTCCCCCAGCAAGCAAAGGGAAGGCGACAGTGGGATGTGGCAGCCAACTATAGTGGATAGTGATTGTGTGACCTCTTCCCAAAAGTGTTTGATTGGAGTGCAGTGCCAGGTTGCATGGATGTATGTATCTGTAGAATTTTGATTGCAATGTGTGCAAACTTCTGATGTGAAACCCATTTTAGCTAATCTATTGCCTGTGTAATGTGTTCTGTGGAGTATTTTGTATTGTATTAACTGTTTTTTTAT